TTGCTACAGTTTTGTATGACAGATTAAAGACTCTTTACTATTTAGCTTTATTGCTCGAAATACATTAATCAATTTTTATCATCAATACAGTGCGTATGATTCGTTTAGCCGCACACAGTTTTTTGCTTTTTTCTTTCTAATATGCAACTTATAAAAATTCAATTATACTATCAAATATTCTTCATTTATTACGTAATCAAGTAAGCTATTAATAATATTTTAAAAAAAAAAAGTAGAAATGAAAAAATAACGAAAATTTGGGTTTTGAAAGTATGATTCGTTTAGCCGCACTTAGGAAAAAAATCTTTCATTTGCCCAAAAACGATGAATTAGCATTTTGTTTCGTGTCCATTCTTACGTATAAGTTCAATTAGACGAGTTTGCATGGAATTGACTAAAGTTTCTAATATCTGTGTTGATAAATTTCACCAGTAATTACGGACTTCAACTTCAAGCTCTTGAATGGATGAAAATTTACGACCTCGACTATACACTCGACGGGCAAGTATTCCCCATAGATTCTCTATTGGGTTCATGTCGGGTGATCTGGTTGGCCAGTCGAGAACAATGATATTTTTGTTACTAAACCATTCCATAGTATTTTTACTTTTATGAATTGAAGCATTATCTTGGACAAAAATGAAGTCACCATCCATAAAATCGTCCGTAAATGGAATCAAAACATCGTCCATGAGCTGAATATAGTTGTCTGAGTTCATCCGAGTAGGAACTTTTGAATCGGGGACTTATCATGCATTGAGAATGCTGCTCAAACCATTAAAGAGCCACCACCAAAATTTCTAGAGTAGTTGAATTGCTTTTCGTTTCTTAAATCGTGCCAGTAGTAATGAAATCCATCAGGTCCATTAAAATAAAATATTTTCTCATCTGAAAAGACCACATTTGTTCACTCCGTAGTCCAATGAACGTATCTTTTTGCCCAATTAAATCGTTCTACAATATGATCAGGGTTCCACATAGGTTTTTTCATTTTCTTGACATATTTAAAGCGGCCAGACTCTCGTAATATTTTACAAACTTGAGCTTTCTTAATAGGCAGTTCTAATTCACGTATGATATCATTAGAAAAGTAGTTTTCCGTAGAAGCAAGTTGAATTGCACGATTATTGTCACGATTTGTAATTTTTTTTTGTATTGCCTTTTATCTTCTTTTTCTTGCCATAATCTTTGCCTTTTGCTAAATAATTTCTTACTACTTTTTCGTCTCTATTAATTCACTTTGCACCCTAGCGAGATTAACTAGCAAATTGTCAGTCTTTCTATTCTACAACTTGCAATTCACCAGTTATTATTAAAACAACTTACTGTTAATAAATTACACTTGCTATTTACTAGCAAATTACTAGCAAATTAAAATGTAAAATGTTTGATCAAATCTGTTTAAGTTCGAATCTTACGAAAAATCATCAAAAAAAGAATTTTTGCGTCATAAAAATAATTTTTTGCGTCATAAAAAGAATTTTTGCGTCATAAAAAGAATTTTTGCGTCATAAAAAGAATTTTTTGCGTCACGAAAAGAATTTTTTGCGTCATAAAAAGAATTTTTTGCGTCATAAAAAATTTTGTTCTAAATTTGTCATTTGCCATATACTTCACAAGAGCGCAGAATTGCCTTAATAAGATCGATCCAAATTTGTATGTGACTTTCAATTAATTATTTATCTTCTTCAGGTTTGCGTGAGAGTCATGGGCGTTCATCAGTATTCGACTTAAATAAATTAAGTCTTTTATTTTTTTCATAGTGTTAGTGTACTTTTATTAACTTTAAATAAGTACATGCTAATACTTTTACAATAATTTACACAAATAAGAAAAATCAAAAGAACACGTGGAAATCAACGGTTATATTCATTTAAATTTTTTACAAATTTGCTAGTAAATTTTGGAACTTGGATTTTGACTAGTAAATAGCAAGTAGCAAATGGAAAGTTATTCAGTAAATTACTAGGAAATTACTAGTAAATTTCTGATAGGCGCAATATCCCGATTGATTTTAATTGATCAATTACAGCCTTTTCAGTATCAATTAAGTATTTTTCTTTTGGCATGACTAATATCTAATAATCTATTTAATTAAAATTACTTGCAAATTAACTTTATTTGTTTACAATTTCAACTGAAAATACTTTCTTTCCTTAGTGCGGCTAAAGACGTAATAAATGAAGAATATTTGACAGTATAATTGAATTTTTATAAGTTGCATATTAGAAAGAAAAAAGCAAAAAACTATGTAAAGGCTAAACGAATCATACGCACTGTAGTAGCAAAAAGTTTGCAAAAATTTAAACTTTTTGTTTAAAATTTCGAATTATGGATTTAATTCAATTTAATATAACTTCAAAATGATTAATAATGCAGCCGAAAATCTATAGATTAGTTTAAATAGTTAAAAATACATCAAAAGGTTAATTATACTCACTTTTTTGCAGACACACATCTGAATTTGATAACAAAAATATCAAAATGAAAATTTTCTTTTTGCTACGGTTGCTGAGATCAATTTTGTATAAAAGTCAATGATTTCCCAAAATTTGATTACAAAATCAATTTCAAAGTTGATTTGATTCTTTTCAAATTGATATTGATTTCAGCGAAATCTTTTGAGTTTTTAATTTTGAATTCTGATTCGTTTTTTAATAATTTGTTTCAATACAATTTAAAAAGGGGTTTATTATTAGATAAAATGTCTCTTAAATGTAAAAAAACTGTCGCAACTACATTTTCAAACTCCAACACTTTCTATTGATGATATAAGCAACTCAGAAGGCTGTCAACAAACAAATCTAGTTTGATTATGAAATCAACTGACTTTACTATCTTTACTAGTTTATATAATTGTCCAGTCCAGGGATTTTAGTAAAAATATTTGTTTAAAACCGGCTTAAGCTTGCACTGACCTACACTAAACTTACCAAGATGCGCTTTCTGTTACAACATTCAATGAATCGCATTTCTGATCTTGTTTTTTAAAAAAAATATAAATTTAATTCTCTTTTTCTCGTATATTTCTATGCTGTACCTACCTACCTCTCATGTCAGATATTATTTTTTCTCAATTCGCAAGCACATAGAGGAACAACAACAAAAATATTTTTGTTAAAAAAAAGAGTTTTGAATTTTATATTTCGCACTTTTTTATATTTTAAATAAAAGTACTTAACTTTATGAAGCTATTCATGAATAAATTTTATATGCACGAGTGAAAAGATTCATCTTCAATTATATTCAATTATATGTAACAGCATATAAACGTTTTTAAACACATGTATTACATTACGTGAGCTGAAAATCTCGTCTTTGAATGTAATTTGTTTCAATAAATTATTAATAATAAATGAGGCATGCATTTAAGAGGTGTTTAGGAATATGATACTGAATATTGTATGATATGGGGGATGTGACATGGGATTTAAATTTCTACATAAATATACATACCTAATTAAAGTCATTGCATGCTAAATTTAGCTTTCCATGCACAGACACACCAATAATTTATCGCGAAATTCTTCTCAATTGTTTTCAATTATTGGGGGGAGTCTACTATTTGAATAAATTTGATTTCAAAGAATTGCTTTTGCTATTTATTTTTTAAATGACGTTTCATATTCACACAAATTTTTTTAATTTTTGTGAAAATTTTGTACTTTTGAATGGAATGGCGATCATATTAAAGTTTTATGAAACAAAAAATTATTTAAACCTAGAATCCCCAAATTCTGTTACAACTAGATTTATAAAATTCATTCTCACAACCTGCTGAATATTATATGCACAAGCCAATCGGTGAGACTGTCTCGAATGTCATAAATCATCATTACTATTTGGATTACAATATCAAAGGGTAAATTTTAAAAACATGTGTGAATGCGATGAGATTTAAAATAGTTATCGCAAATCGTACATATGTCTACATAATAGTCTCAAAATGTTTTTGATATTTACAATGAGACAAAGAGTTATCTTGCGGTCAGTTTTGGAAATTTTTCTTTTATTTCCATTTTTGTAGATTTGCAAATTTTTTCTTTACAAACTTTTTGTTGATTTTTATATCATTAATCATCACTTATTGATCATTGAACCCGAAGATTTCGTCTCGATTATCTGACTTGTCCTACTCGGGGAAGTTTCTTAGGTTTCTTTTATTCGTTATTGAATGAATTAAGACCAAGAGTGTGGAACTGATGAATTACATTTTGATCAATGTTGATCATCTTTGATCATTTCATTAGTACCACACCTTTGTTTAAGACTTAATTTCACACCAGTTTGAAGATACATTGTAACACTTTAAACGACATTAAAGGACGATCTTCAATAGCAATCAGTCATAAGTTACGTTAATGAGAATTTACAAGTTTGTGGTCTCAGTTTCTACAACAGTAATCAAAGATGTGATCTTATCAATCAAGAAATAGATGAGAAGTCTAGTAATCCCAAATTGAATAGTTATCATTCTAAGGCTTAATTCAAGACAAAAAGATTCTAAATAGCAATGAGCCAATGAATATACGATTTTATTAAAAATAATCATTTTTCATATGACGGCACGGTTCGTACATCAAAAGATTATTTTAATGTGATTGGTATCCGTACTCATACTTTGATAACCCATTACTTTCTTATCAAAATTCATTTCCTTGCGTGATTCAATCATTTACAATCAATGCTTTCAGTTACACTTTATATGCTGTCACTATTTTTAAATCGGTACACAATTATTTTGTTTCAACTGATTTTATTATTTTTAAATTTTCAACATGATCTTTGCTTAAAAAAAACTTTAGCACTGCTAAATCTTAGACAATGATCATCCATGAGTTGAGTATCGAATGCAATATCTACCTTAGTTGTAAATTACACAGCTTTATTGCGAAGGGATCATCGTCTTTACCCCCCCCCCCCCCCCTCTCCTTAATCTTAAGTAACCTAAACCTTAAAGAGATCTGCTATATAACCTTGCACTCAAATTTGAAACAACCGATAAATCAACAGGTACTCAACCCCTGTGTGATAACAAGATTGTTATTGAAAAGAATTATATGAAATATTACAGTAAATTAGTGTAGCAAAAAGGACTTAGCTAGTTTTGGATGTGCCGATTTCGATAGACAATTAAAATCAGAATGGAGAGCATTAAAAGAGTAAGAATTTGTGAATTTCATAACAAAATTTTGTTTATGTTTTGAACCATAAAATTTACAGCCAAAGACAATAACTCTTTCATTCAATAATGATGATAGCTGTATTGTTGTTGATAATGAAGTTCCAAAGACACACAGAATTAATGAAATGGTTATTGACTTAACGGAAGATTCTAGTCAGGGAGACACAGAAGAAGAAATGCCGGTGATTCCCCAAAATGATGCACAGCCTAAGAAAGCACTCAAAACAATAGAATTTAATATGAGTGTTAGTGACTCCGTGACATCATCAAATATACCGAAAGAAAATCCCTTTTTGAAAGTTTTTAAAAGTAATGATATTAACAATAATCCATGCATTAATCAACAGCCAACATGCTCAAAATATCTTACTCCATGTATCAGCAACTTCCTTGACACTCCAAAAGATCAGAAAACTATAAAAGACCTAATTGACAATTCTGAAGACTTTATTTGCTCGATTTGCCTTAACTTTATTTTTAAAGGATGTGGAGTTACATTGAAGGCATGCATGCATACTTTTTGTCGGCAATGTCTAGTTCAGGCAATTCATAATAGACACGACGAAATGACTGGATTTGTAAAGTGTCCATTTGAAGCAGAGAACTGTGATAGCAATTTAAATGAAAAGGAAATTAAGGAACTGCTTGGAACTAGCTATGAAGTTTTCCAGGAACAAATTAAATATAATGTTGAGCAATTTTTGGAAACTGAGGCACGAAAACAAGAAGAATCAAAATCAGAGTCGTTAATACCAGCTTTGCTAGGCATGGATCTGGATTTTATTCCAAATATGAAGCCATTCGAGTGCCAAGTTTGTTTTGATCAGGTTTGTTATGCTTAATCCTGTCTGTTTGGTTGAAGTTGCTTATTAAATTAATTAAACATCCAGTACTTAAAATTCAACTTTTTAAATCTGCTGTTTTTCAATTTTTATCTAGGTTGAAACTGGCAACGGAATAACACTGCATAACTGCCTTCATGAATTTTGCAAAGAGTGTTTAAGTGGACAAATTGAAGCAGCTGAAGATTTTGAAGTAAAATGTCCATTGCATGACATATCATGCAAGGAATATTTAAGAGAAAGAGAAGTTAAAGCTCTCGTATCGAATGAAGTTTTTGAAAAACATCTCCAAAAGTCCCTTAAAATTGCTGAGCATGGAAATGAGCTTGCATTCCATTGCCGTACACCTGATTGTCCAATTTTCATGGAAATTGTAGAGGAAGTTACCAGTTTTCAATGTCCAACTTGTAAGAAAGTTAATTGCATTAAATGCAAAGCTATTCATGAAGGCAAAACATGCTTGGACTATCAAGAAGAGGTAAATCCACAAATGAAGACCGATCGACTGCATAATGAAAATTTCCAATCTGAGGATGCAATTAAGCAGTTGATTGCAACAAATCAGGCAATGTACTGTCCAAAGTGCTCGATTCCTGTGATGAAAATTAGTGGCTGTGATTTCATTTCCTGTTCTGCATGCAAATTAGGTGAGCTTATTTAAAATCGTAACCGTTCAGAAATATTGCAACGGTTGAAAGGTATTTGAAAAATAACAGTCAAAAAGGTTTTAAATTTTTTGTACTAGAATCTTTAAATCTTCGGATTTATTCTTAATCCTCGATGCTGGGTAATAAGTCCAGAAAATCAAAGTGACTAAAGGTTTATAAGTCCAGATACAAATTGCACCTGGACTTAAAAACCTCTCGTGCAGTTTATAATTCCAGCTGTATTTGTACCTGAACTTATAAACTGCACGCGAGGTTTTTAAGTCCAGGTGCAATTTGTATCTGGACTTATAAACCATAATTCACTTTAATTTTCTGGACTTATAATTTTCTGTGCACGACTTTTGTATCTGGACTTATAATCTCTGGACTTATAACCCAGCATCTTAATCCTCAAATTAATAATTTTTCTGTTAATAGGAATTTGCTGGGTCACTAAAAAGCCACGTAATGACTTACAGAAGGCTGATGGAACTATAATTCAAGGTTGTAGATGCAAACAACCTCCTACCAATAAACCATGTCATCCAAATTGCGGAAACTGCCATTAAATATTTGTTAAATGCAATATGTATTGATAAATTTCTATAACATTATAATTACTGAATAAATATTTTTACAGTTGAAAAGCTTCTCCTTAATCATATAAAGATCTTTTCAGGGTTGTTAAAACATATTCTATTTTACAGAATATGTACACATATCCAACACATTTTGCATGTTTACGTGTGGCAGAATTCATATGTTGGCAGATAAAATATGTCACACATTGCATATGTGCACATATTTGATGTGTGACACATTATATTGTGTCATGTGTGTATGAAAATGTGTGATGTGTGACACATATTTATGTGTGTAGATATCATGTGTAAACATGGAAAATCTGCACATATTTATTAATTTGCGGGACTAAAGTCAAATTAGTTTAAAATTACAGTTTGATGAACATATTTTCGACAAAATTAACTCTTTTATGCAGTATTTGACTGTTTTGGTTATATATCAATAATTTTTTTTAAAAAAATACCACTTTAGTCCCGCAAATTAATAAATATGTGCAGATTTTGCATGTTTACACATGATATCTACACATAAATATGTGTCACACATCACACATTTTCATATTTGACACAAAATAATGTGTCACACATCAAATATGTGCACACATCACATGTGCACATATGCAATGTGTGACATATATTATCTGCCAACATATGAATTCTGCCACACATTGTACACGTAAACATATTTTTAAAAAAGGCCAGAATCTATTTTTAACCACCCTGGATCTTTTGTTCTCACAATTCTTAATTTGTGAATTGGAGTCTTACAAGTGGAAAACTTTGACTTATCAGATTTTCTATTTTAAAGCTTAAATTAATTAAATTCGGGTTTTAAAACTAATTGATTTCTATGCAAGCATCAACACGACTTGTATTAGCATCCTGGAAAAATGAAACAGCAAAAAAATGAGGAGATAAATTAATCGAATTCAGCATTGAAAAATAATTTTCTTCATATTAATTCAAAACATCAAACATTGAATTCAGTTTTTTTTTTCTGTGAAGTTTTATTAATGACAACATGCAGCTTTATGCTTCTTTGAAGAAGGAAAACAATATGAAGCATGGAACATTTAATAATCGAGCTTTAAAAACTTTTGAAGACTCTTTGGATAAAAAATTTCAACAACTTTTGAACTTTGGTTTTGAATATCTGGTATGTAGAATATTTTTAAATGTTTTATGTAGTTTTATGCTGCGATTGCTATTGTCATTTACATTTAGATTCAAAGTTCTAGAGACATTAAAATTTAATTAAATTTTCATCAACACTTTAATGTGTCCAAACTTGCCACTTTTGTTCAATCAAATCTCAATCTTAAAATGATCCATTAAAAGTAGTTTAAAAAGTCACATGAATAATTATTTAATCAGGCAATTATGCGCGATATACATTAAAGACCCTTGATCCAAAATCATCAATAAGGAATTGCAACCATAAATAATAATCAGTTTCAAGCAGGCACTTAAAAAAGATATTCCTTTTGCTTATTATGCAAAAACTTCATCCTTAAAAATCATTGCAAAGTCCATGTCAGTTCTATAAATAGAAATATATAAATTTTAGGCAGTTAAGATCCAATTTTATGAAAATATCGGATTTAAATCATCATCATCAAAAACACGTAATTCTCATCCATAGTTGCACATGCTTGGTTGGTATGGATCTTGACTGCATTCCTAACACGAAGCTAGTCGAATATACTGTCCAATTTTATTAAAAATAAGAGATGCCCAACGTTTCTTTTGCCGAGGATGTCAAAAATTTAATTGCGTTGCGTTGTATGTAAAGTTATTCATTAAGGAAAGAGCTGCACAAAGTATGAGGATTACATCACTTGTACTGCGTTCAAATTAGGTTTACTGTTATTGACAGCAAAACTGTAAAGAAGGTATAAGAAGTTGTACTAGAATTCTTTAAATCCTCATAATTAAAGACTGTCTAAATTAAAGCCTTGCCATCCAATGTGCCGATTCTGATTGAACCACATTTCTGATATTAATCAACTTGATTGTTTTGACTGAAAAACATTAATGAATAATATAGAAGATTTTAATAAGTTTATGTTTTGGATTTATCTTTTATTCTTATCCATAAGATTTTAGCTGGATAATTCAACAGGTCATATAGGAATACAAATTATTTATCCTTGTTTCTGGGCCAATTCTCTAGCCTTTGCCTTTTCAACTTTAGCAATGCGAGCCATTGATTTTGGTCCGAGTAAACCACCACCCCAATGACGACGAATTTCATCATAACGATCATTGTAGTTTGTCTTAATGGCTTCAACAATCTTAGCAAAGTTAGCGCGATCAGCATTATCGACGTTTGTCAATGCAAGAGTTGTGCAGGTCTTACGGTGAACTAATCGTCCCAAGCGTGATTTACCCTTAACGATACAGTATGGAACTCCCATTTTACGGCAGAGGGCTGGTAAGAACAAGACCAACTAGAAAGTAAAACATTTCCTCGTTAATTAAATTGACAAATTGTATAAATATTGATAGTAATATATTTTTGTGTGGGTATTAATCAGATGTCTTGTCTCTAACACGGTAAAGTGAACAATATTTGTGAGATAAAGTTCTTCAGGTGAAGAAATTCTATTTTCATCACTTTAAATCCACACAATTAACGCATTCCCCGAATAAGAATTTATTTTAATAAGGAAACTGCGCCTATACATCCAGAAATAAGTCATATACTCACTTCAATTGGATCAACATCGTGTCCAATAATAACCAATTGAGCTTTCTTTTGCTCAACTAATTTGGTGACTGTATTACATCCAGCTCTCAACAATTGCTTCTTTTTTGAGGGTGCTTCGTCCTTTCCTGCAACTTTAGCTTCTGCTGTCTTCTTAAGACGAGCTGATTTTTGGAGCTTTGTTTCTGGACGATACTTTTCCAAAACCTTGAACAATTGAATTGCTACAAAAATTGTACAAAGGAACAAAATCAGTTAAATTAATACAGAAAATATTAAATAGACGATAATGCTTACCAGTTTGCTTGTCAACAGCTTGAGAGAATTGATGAATTGGTGGAGGAACCTTCAAGCGCTTTTGTAAAATTGCCTTGTGGCGTTGGATACGAATGTATTTGGGCCATCTTACGAATCTTGAGAGATCACGTTTAGGCTGTACATTCTGACCGATTCCGTAGTTCTTCGGGCGTTTTTCGAAAAGTGGATTTGTTGCAGTCTTCTTAGCGACTGCTGATTTTGATAATGGTGCTGCAGCAACTTTCTTGCCAACAACCTTCTTTTTGCTTACTGGCTGAAATTAGCAAAAAACATTGGTCATTAGCATTATAATAAGCCAGTATTGATTCAAATCTTAATTGAATCAACTTTAATTCATGTCCAATTTTCAAAACACATTGTTTTAGGTTAGACGAAATAATATTTTTTCATAAAATCACTGATTTTCGCATTTCTTTGGGAAAACTTCATGATCGTTGATTAATTAATGCACTTATACGTCTTTTGGAATACAAACATACCTTTTTAGTAACCATTTTCCTTATTTTTCCACGTGATTTTCGGGAATCGAAGTGTTTTGTCTATGGGAGACAAGAAGAGAAAGAAAGAGCGCTTTCTGGACTAGAACAATAACAGATTTTTCGCGTACTAGATTATTCATTTTTCTACGGATCTACTCTAGATTTTACAATTATCTCATTAATGTCGCAATAATCTTAATGATAATTACCTTTATTATGTTTATTTAAACGCAACCAAGCAGCTGTCATACAGCAGTTAAGTCAATAAAGGAATAAAATATTGTGTACTAAAGTTAACGGTTTTTTAAAAAACAAAATTAAAAAAATCCAATATAAGCTACAGAATCATTATAGACTAAGATTAGTCAGGAAAAACAGAAAAAATTGTGAAAAACGTCTCGTCTTAGTTTTTCGCGAAAATGTGAATAATTCGGAAGAAATCAGTAGCAAATACTATCTCAAAATGTTCTGAACCATCTTTAAAATGGAAATAATATCGAGAACGGGTTGTGTTAACACTTTTCATTTAATTTGAAAGCAAAAATTATACCAAAGCAAAAAAAATAACTATTTATTTTATTTATTTATATTATCATATATTCCTATTTATCGCAATTGATCTAGTTTGTGAAATTAAAGTGTGTGTAAAAGTCATTTCTATTAATTAATTAAGTCAGTAAAGTTGTGCATAAAAATCTCATACAAAAATTATCCAAAAAAGAAAATTTTCACTCATTGGAAAATTTTTAAAAATGGAAGGTAAGTGACGATAAATTTTCCACACAGCACAAACCATGTAGAACTTTTCTACTTTTCCATTTTTTTCTCCTCTACAACATAATCACGCAATATACAATTTATAAATTTTGGGGGAGCTTCAAAGTCATAATTCAGTCATATACCCAAAAAACATGAACATTTTCACTGGTTCCTTTCCGTGACTTATTTGTTCTTTTCTCCTTATTTTACAGATTGCAAAAAGAATTCATCCATAATCGACAATACAAAATGCTCGTCAGCAGTCGAGCAAAGCAAAAAAACTAGGTAAGTGTGCCTATTAACATCCCATCCATCCATCCAATCAATTAAGTTTCTATCGACTTTTACTTTTCATTACGCGAAAAATTTAAAACGCCGCTTCATAACGTAAATAATTGAGCATTGAGCGCCAAGAAGAAGAAGTGGTGGTAAAAAGCATAGAGAAATCTTATAAGAAAAGTTTTTGTGTTGAAAGAAAAATCAAGTTTTATCTCATTTTCCATTAAATAAAGACTGTCTGTCAGTCTGTAATGTCTGACTATTTCCTCCTTCAGTTAAAGCTTTTTAAACGACTTTAGCTTAAAATATGTGTTTCAGTCTAGCCTGAGCAAAAACATCAAATCGATGTGTATCTTCCATTGTTGAATTGAGGGGGTGGGGGTACCGAATTTTGAACCCATAATTTTTGAAAAGTATTAAGTTTTTAGATGTTATTTGTCGAGGAAAAATGCGTTTTCGTCAGTCACGAGTGACATATCTATACTAGTTTTTATGAATGTGCTAAGTGCACACAGAGAGTAAAGAGAAAAGATAGAAATGCATGCAGTAAGTACACATGAATGTTAGAGAAAAGAAAAGTAAGCAGCTATGATAAAAAAAAAAAAACCTAAAACAGCTAACAAATTTCATATAAAATGAATGAAAGAATCCACTTATAATAAAATATAAAATTGGAGGAAATAATGAACCAAAAATTATGCCTCAACATTCGTTCGTTTATTCAATATCATGGGTTTATAGTAACTATAATAGTACTACTATAACATAATGTATTATGTCGTACCGAAACGTTAGTATAATAATTTAAATGAAAGTGATTTCAATACAATAAATTATTGATTTTTTTTTTCTTTCTTCTTCCTTTCTTCACTTTCTATTTGCAACTGCCCACGATTGTTTTCATGCTATTCCTATCGTAGATTGCCACAAGATATTTATTTATGAGAGGAAAAAAGGGCGAAAAATCACTATTTCCTTTGGGATTTGTAAAAAAATTCCAATAAGAATCAATGTACATGTATCTTATTTCCATGTATCACGAAACGATTTGTTCTATTTTTTTTTTTTTTGCTGAATTGATCAAACAAGCAACTGATTTAATGATTACTATCCATTATCTTTTTTGACCTTGGACGTTGCCACACAAATCCAATTATTTGTAGTGAAAATGCTAGTCTGACACTGATTTTTACTCTCTCATCACGAGTGCTTAGTGCTGTTTTACTTTTGTGATACATTTTTATTTTTAATCAAACACGTGAAAGTGAATTTTGCATGACATGATTAATAACAATTACTCAAAATGTCATAAAATTAAGGCGATAAAAGTTTTGACTCACGGCTTTAAATTAATCCTATTTCAATTTTATGGTCAGTTTAATTCTGATTGGCAATTAGTAATTTTCAAATTTTTGCTTCCTGAGACTCACGTAGTTTAATTCTTGAAGTAACATTGAATTTAGAAAAATTGAAAAAAATTTAATGAAGCAAAAAATAAAAGCTAAGTTTAATATTTGTAAATTGAACCATTTGATTAGGTTTAAAATGACCTTTTCTAGTGGTTTTACAGCTGAGTTTTTAACACTTTGTGATGTAAATCTGCAAAACCCAAACATTATCAAATCTAATTTAGAATGAAATTCAAAATATTTGCAGATTTACTCGCTAGTAAATCTTCGATCAACCTTTTCAAAATCCCATCAAAAATATTTACCTTTAGAAATAATAAAAAGCTTCAGAACATCAATCATTATCAATCTGTTTGCGGTTTTATCCATCCAAATAAATGATAGGCACTTTTCATAATAATTTATTGATCAATTAGCTGTAGTTATTTCGAGAGAGAAATTTTTCAATTAATTTGTGTGGTTTGTTCTTTGCTGAAATTAATTTATTTTAATCATTTTTCCACCCACACAAAAATTTAAGATAGAATTCAAAAAATGTTTGTAGATGAAATATTTTTTGGTGTGGGATGACAAAATATTCTCGATAATTTCCATTGCTCTAGGGATATTTCTTCTTTCTTTTCCTCCATAATAGATTCCTTTTTCACTTTTAATGTGCGATATTTCATCTTTTTTGTGTTATAGAAAATAAGGAATTATTTTTTTTTTCTGTCTTCTTTTCGTGACTATTAAGAAAGACAGCTGGTTTATAGTTCTTTTTTGTGGATAGAATTGTAAGAAAAGATATTATATTTATCTTATTGTGCATGTCTACACTCACATATTATGCTCATGTCGTACCAACACACAGAAATCGATACAAGGACCTTCAAAAAAATTATACAGTATACCTAAAAATAATTAAAAGACGTTTTTCTATTCATTTACCAACATTCACAACATACAATCAAAGCCAGAGGTTTTCTTATTGTTGTTAAATCTACATTTATACGATTGTGAAATAAAATAAAAAATAATCTTGTAGAAATGAAGCATGAAGCAGGTCTCGACTACTTACATCGTTAAAGTTTATTTTATTCTTTTTAACCTTATTTAGATCAAAAGAGTTTTGTTAAATTCGGCATGTCTCCGGCATATAAAACGATTTTGTACATTTATCTCCTTTTGTGAAAAAATAAAATTCACATGTTGCTTCAAGCGAATCGTTAAAGGAAGATCCGAGAAAAGCAACAAGAAGAAGGAATAAAAATCAAATTCGATACTCATATTCGCAATAAACATGAAAATTACACCAGATGGTCGCGTGGCTTTTTAAGAATTTAGAATGTATGTTTTTATGCACATGATGTTTTTAAATAACTCTTCAAATTACCATACAATTAATTTTTCGTTGATGTGGCTTGTGTCTTGTACTTACGCAAAATTTAGTTGCAGCCTTTTCTCCCCTCTTAACCATAGATTATTATTATTTTTATTTTTCATGAAGTGAATTTTAATTTTAATTTACACTTATCTTTAAGCCCACAATGAGTTGTTCTTTTTAGTGGAAATCAATTAACTTTTTTTGTAAAGCTATAAGTTCAATAATTTGTTCAGTAATTGCGTTCATTACGTTATTTTGAATGCAAAGCTTTTTTAATGGGATTTAAAATTAGGGGTTCTAAAATCGGGAATTCCCGGGAATCCCGTTCCCGTTTCCCGAAAATCTGTCGGGAACATTCCCGAAATTCCCGTTTTCATACCAAAAAAAACGACAATTCAAATTAGTTTTTTTTTTATTTTGTATTTTCCATGAAAAAAACTACAATTTAAAGAAAAAAATTATAATAATGAAAACGTACGTTAAGGAATTTAAGAGTTGAAATATTAAACTCAAATTTGAGTGTCCATCAAGTAGAACGGTGACCTAACGAATTGAGTGATGGACTATATATGGGTTTTTTGTGCTATTTTGTGAAAGCAGAAAAATAACTTTTTTAAATTTTGTGAAGTTGCCAGTTCTGAGATATGAGCATCTGAAAACGGAGCTAGGGCCGATTTTTTACTTTTAACACTTTCGACTGTAAATCTGACAAGGCTTAACGAAAATTGTTCAAACTTGGTCAGTAATTTGTGCAAATGTTTCTTAATCAAATAAAATAAACGAAATATTTTTATCTAACCTAACCGTTCTACTTGATGGACACCAAATTTGATGTTTTTTAAATCAAAAACATATATTTATGAAAAACGAAGAGAAAAAGTATTTAAAAATATTTTTTAAATGTATGATGTCCATAAAATAATAAACTTAATTGACATTGGATTAAAGTAATTTTTCCAAAATAAAAAAAACGTGCTGGAAATTAATATTTCTGGAATCCACCAACATGTACAAGAGCTGAACGTAACTTTTCAATCTCCAATAATATTGTCTCAAAAAATCGCACTAGATTGCTAGACCAGTTAAAATCGTACTTTAAGAATTGTTCTAAAACCAAAAAGAATTAAATTTCAAACGGAAATTATTTTCAAAAGAATCAATTTGACAATCAAATCAAATAGAATTTAAATTTAATTTAAAAACCTAAATAAAAAGCTTTTAAAATTTTGAATTAATACTATATATTTTTGATAATTTTCGAGCTGAATACACCCTTAATTAACGCAAAAATGTGAAATCACAATCAGTCAAAAAAGATCAAATTTCTCAGCAACCTTTGACTTTCAATTTTCTCACAATTTTCTTCAGTTTAATTCTTTAAAGACGTGTTTTTAAATATTGTTGCAAATCGGTGCAAATAAATTGGAACTTGACATTATTAATGCTTAAAAAGAAGTGGAGTTCAAGATAAAAGTGATAGTGAAGTGCTAAAATGGAAGCAACAGTGAAAATAAGCCAAAAGTGATGAAAAAATTAAAAGTGAAGAAAAAAATGAAAAATTTTCTGAGTGAACATTGAAAGTTAAGAAAATTAAATTCAAGAAGCTGTAAAATTGAAGTGAAAATGAGATTGATGAAGCTTGAAGGAACCAGGACACAATTAAAGAAGCAAGAGGCTAGTGACAACGAAGAAAAAGCTAAGTATACTAATAAATAGTCCTCAAATTCCTTTTCTTTAATGAAACCAGCCATTTGACTTCCTACAATTGCGTACGTAATGCTTGCAATACGTGAAATGATTACTTAAAAACGCATTGCATTGAGTTTTACATTTCGTCGGCCTTTGTTGATGTAAATTAAGAGTGGGAGTCGTTGAATAGGTCAGAGGGGGGTCGATGCAAGATGAGGAGGGGTAAAACTTGAGGGAGCAAAGTCTTTTGACCCTTTTTTTAAAAAGTTTTTCTGTTCTTTTTTTTTTTTTGTAAATCGAGCCTATGAGTCATGTGTTTCTGCCTGTGAGACTTACTATCGTGGCTATTGATTGGTTCATCCTTGATGTAGAGTGGCATCAAGGACATTGATTGCTTGCTCGTAAATGAGACTTGCAATTTTTTGTCTAGATGCCTGTTCTCACACACAGCATTAGACTTACATCAGGTCCAATGACGTATCGTGTAGTTTAATGTGAAAAATGAGCCTCTGATGATTTGGGTTGTAATCAATAGAAGCTTAATT